TGCAATTACTGTATTTGGACAGAGGAACAGTAATTAAAATGATTACACCAAATTTTCATAAAGTATGTGAAGGGAATACTCTCATTTTCTATCCTAATCTACTGTATTCTTCCATTTTCCAAACTTGCTCATTCATGACCCCAAATTAATTCAAGATCCACGAATGGATCTAGCTAATTTAACAAAATTAATAAGAAACTAATTGCAATAATAGTTCAAAGAAATGTGGTGGCACCTCACCCAAAAACTTTCAGTAGGACTAGAGAAGAAAGATTTTGTTGAGGGAAAAATTTCTGCAAGGAATTTTCAGAAGTTTGTGAAGAATGAGGTAGGGAGAGTAAGAACAATACTGGAGGGGATAAAGCCTTTAACCCATGCTAACTTGTGACTGTTGACAATGCCTATACCAATGCTATTGTGATAAATATGATGTAATAGATGAAATTGAAATGTCCATGCTATACACTAATGACCTGAGAGTGCCCTGGAAGTTTAATCAGTATCAGAATGTCTGAATCTTCTAAGAACTAGAGTGCCCAGTAGTAAATAAGTTAGAACACACTTTCCAACTTTCTATTGTACTTCCAACACATGCACACACACACACATGCACACACACGCACACGCATGCATGCTCACAGGTACACAGAAACACACACAGAGGAAAAAATATTTATACAATTACAGATCAAAAGAGTTTTCAGTTTTAAAGTTTTTTACATAAGCAACTTATATGTCAAAGCAATGTTGTGACCAGTTTTATTTTCTGTTCACTAAAAGCCAGAGAACTCAGAGATACACTTCCTATAAGCTCTCTAATGACCTTAGGGGTCATAATCTATTAACATTTAATTACAAAAGTAAAAATTATGAATTTTCTAGCATAGGTTATTAGAGTAGCAACTGGAATTTTTCATGAATGTTCTTTTTCTCCATTTAGTACAGAACATGTTTTTAATGGCATAAATTCCATGATTAACCAGACTCCCCTTTCTGTGAAACTGTAGTAACGTCCCAAAGGCCATGATCAGAGGAGAAGTTCAGTTCCCAAATAATCACGGACAGAATACAATTCCTGAGAATTCCTGCCTAGTTACCAGCCCCAAGTCTGAAATACTGTTGTAAGTTTATTCATCAGGTAAAAAAAGTTAAGGTTGTACACCACACATGAATATCACACATTATTTTAAAAATAAATACATACTTTATATGTGTGAAAAATGAATGTACAAAGTAGGACATTATAACATGTAAGTAGAGGGCTGAATGACAGCTTCATTGCTCAGGCTCTAAGATAAATGCCCAAGATTTCAGGTTGAATTTGAGTCAGTAATGTATCGTGACTTTGTATAATGACACTGTAATTTGTGTGTATGTTAGTTTAGGTGGAATCTCACTTTGAATCCAGTGTAGTCTTGTGTAGCACAATTTTGTTAAAAATTAAAGAAAAAAAGTCAAAAGTAATTCTTAAATATACTACTTAGTATAATGTGTTCAGGTATTCAAGATCTAGTATTCAAGATCTCTGTGTATGTATTATATATAACTAATATAGGGAAAGATAAAGGAGTGTATAGATTATGCCTTATATAAGGGTTTCAGAGACAGCTCGTGTCACAAGGCATCATGATGGGGAGATTTTTCTCCCTGTGCTAATCGAAGGGCTGTAACTCATCATTAAGCTCACTCAGGAGGCAAGGCATGTACTGACAAAGAGGGTGCCTGGTACCGAATCTCTGAACATGGCAGCACTGCAAATGGATGCTGAGTGACCAAGTGAATCTCTGTTGCTCTCTGTAGCTGCTTGAAATCCGACTTACCAGTCTTATCATTGGGATAAACCCACTCACGTAGTACAGGGCCTGTTGTCAATTGAAAAATGAAAACAAAGCTGATACTTTAATTCTGTACCTGGCAACAAAGGAAGGGCAGTGTGACCCAAAGTGATCTAAGGAGATATTTCTATTCATAACCTTAAACAATAAGAGGAAGCCTTGAAGACAGGGAGATTTCCAAATGTCTAGGAGTGCTCTGGTGATAGAGAATGGACAATGGTACTATTGGAGACTTAACATACCTAAGGAGGTTATGAAAATTTTACCATCTTTTCATGAAAGAAGTCTCCATTTAAGTTAGTCAGACTTGGTTTCTAGCTGCTTTCCACAAACAGAAGAGTTGAGAGTAGAAGCGGCGGGCGGGGGGGGGGGGGATTTGACTAAACAATATTTTAGGCATTGCTTACTTTCTTAGGAATACCATTCTAACAGTTTTTGTTGTTACATGTTTTCTTGAAGCTATTTGTGCTTATGACTATTGATAACAGTGAAGGAAGATAGCTTGCATAGTCCCTGAGTTCAGACCATGAGACTCAAGCAATGAGGACTACGTAGTGAACCAGAGAAGTAGTGCTCAACTCTGAGTCTGGCAGTCTGCTGACATTTCAGAATTTTCTTCTATAACTGTATAAAGACACAGAGAGAATGGCAGTTCTTATCCTGTCTCCAATACTGCTTAGTACACAATCTTTGATTACTAAACAATCAGATTTTATTTGAGTAAAATAATCTTTGCCAGTCATTGTCCATGTGGTGTCTACCCCTCCTGTGTTTTTCCTGTTTACTTCTCCAATGAGGGTTGAGAGGTGCACTAATCTTAAATTTATGTCCACTTATCAGACACATGCCCACAGAATTGCGTAGCAGAACTATGTTTAGTTCATGTTAAAATAGTTCATGCTGGGGAATTATGGGATAGGATGAGAGCCTTTAGGCTACAAGGAAATATAAGCATGGAGAATCATTACTCTTTCTCCATAGTAGATGATTTGGTGGCACAAAATTTCACTCTTTTCAGAAGAATTGTTTCTGATTATTTTCATATTATTGATTTGGGGAAAAATAGATGCTATCTACAATGAGAAAGCACCTGCGGAGACTGCTCTCTCTCTCTCTCTCTCTCTCTCTCTCTCTCTCTCCTTTCTCTATTTATTTCTCAGTAAGCTATGTGTAGTGCCATATATCTTGACAGGATAATGTCAGTTTCACTGTTAATGTGTGTTTGAGGTAGCATATATAATAATAACCCTTAGAATACCCTTTTCCCCCTATAAGATCCAAATTGGTATTATGATCAGGTTAAGATTTTATATACTTTTTTAAATATTGGTGTGACACAGGTGCTAGAATATCAGATGCTTCTATGGACACTTGATCTCTCGGCAATTGAGAGGTGGGGCAGAAGGATCTGGAGTTCAAGGCTAGCCTTTACAGTATAGACATTTAAGGCTAAAACTGTCTATATGAGTTTGAGAACCAATGGGGCTACATGGAGATTCTGTTATGCAATCAGTTCAAACAAAATGATAATCGGATCCTCAGTATGCCATGATTCTCATGACAGATTGGTTCACATTAGAATATTAGGTGAAATATGCTTTCTATTCCTTTGTAACTATCCTGGAGATTCCTGCTCTCCTGAGTACAGAACTGTTCAGGGGTATCCTGTGCTGACTGTCTTCATTATAAAGGAAATGATTTATAGTTCATCTGAGTCAGTGACATGGACTAAGAACAGCTAAGAAACTTCATTATATGAGACAGGGTGCATAAAGGCACATATTAAAATATAACCTTTAATGTCTAATATGCAAATAATGTATTAATATTTTTCCTTTCCCCTCGTAATACCATACCCTGGAGAGTAAAGACTTTACATAATAGTGTGAGATGGAAAAGATTTATTGTTAGAGATAGAGTTGTAAGAGACCTATGAATTAAATATATGTTAATTAGGAGAGAGATAGGATTATATCTAAGACAATGTTTCTACAACAGGACACACACTTTCCTTTCTAATTAAAATTTAAGTTTTTTAAGAATTTAATTAATATGGCAAAAACACAGGAAGAGAAATATAAAGAATGAACTCTAAGGTCTATATTCATTCTTTTGAGGAATTGACAAAGATGGGGAAGCTGTATTTTATAAATAGGTGTGTTTTCATGAATGCATGGATTGAATGCATTTGAAAGACATTTTTCTTTTACATACCAGAAAGTCTAGTTTGAAGGAAATCTAAATGATCTTTTACAAACTAATTGAAACATGCATTCCACCAAGTTGAAATAAGGATATTTAAAAGTTTCCTAAGTCAAGGATCCATGATTAATATGAAATATTCAACACAGCATCACAAATCAGTGGGGCATATATTCAAGATGCTTTCCAACACTATTTTTCAATGCAAGTATGAAGTCATGTTGCATGAACAAAATTAGGTGTAGACTCTTTTTATAGCATCATGACTCCTTGGCAAAAGTCAGAAACTCAGGTCTACACCTTTTCTCAATATGAACCCAGGGATGCAGAAGGCCCTGGAATTCAGAAGCCTATAGGCTAGCCTCCAAAGGAATAGAAAGGATATTTCTCCTACACACTTCAAATCTCAGAAAGTCAGACTAAATAAGATAATTTTATACAATATATAGGCCTATAGAAGGCAGTTGTAAATATATTTGTGGACAGTACTTACACAAACAGTATATACTCTCTTATCACACAGTATTAAAAACTCACATTTATTCAGTGATATTTATAAAGATGTTGAAAAGACTCAAGCCTGACAAAAAGGATGTACATTCTGTTTTCTTCACTTAACATGTAGCTTAGATTTCCTGTGGCATAACAAAAAGCCATTGTGGATTGACCACTATAAATTCATTTATTATGATTGTATACATTTGTGAAGATGAAAAAATAACAGATTGGCTAAACTGGAGCCCAACTGGAATTAACATCTATATTGAAAATAATATTTCTCACATTTTGATGATTTGTTGAATATGTAACTTTGCTAGGCAGATTATTTGGGGAGATTTTTGTTGTGTTTTGTTATGCTTATTGATTAAAAATGTGCTGGCTCCTCATTCTTTTCTTTCACACCATTTTATGAGTGAATTTTTCATATTTATTTTTCTTTTTTTCCATTAATTTTTTCCTCAGGTGCAATCTAGCTCCTGTGGTGGAGTTTGCTGCGGATGTGGGGACTAAATCAGATTTTATTACCATGAACCCATCAGTTGTGCAGAGAGCATTTGGAGGCTTTCGGAATGAGAGTGACAGAGCAAAATTTGTGCATAGACTTTCCATGCTGAATGACAGTGTCCTTTGGATCCCCGCTTTCATGGTCAAAGGAGGAGAGAAGCACGTGGAATGGGTTAATGCATTAATCCTTAAGAACAAGCTGAAAGTGCGAACTGCCTATCCATCACTGAGACTTATTCATGCTGTCAGAGGGTAAGTGGCTGGAAAGGACCAGGCCGTCCTTGGCACAATGGAACACATAACTAAAGATTTTCTCTAGCCAGGAATGAACATCAGAAACACCTTCACAATAAACACATTCTCGTCATTTTATAATGCTTTCCATATTTTTCAAATGTGAATTTTATTTGCATACATAGTCTTTTTACTCACCCACTTTGGAAAAGCAAATTGTTGAATTTGACATTGATATCCTCTCATGAACAAAGTGCTGATGTTAATTTCTTCCTGTGACTCAGGGTAATAAGAGTTTGCGGTGAAACTGATGACGTTTAAATGACAGGTGGCAACAAAAAAGCTAAATGTCTGTAGGCAATGTGATGGACACACAAGTGTTCAGTTTGTTAAAGGAACAATTGAGGTCTATCTACAGCTCAGAGGTCAACCAGTAAGACAAGAGGCTTGCTGAGATTATATACCTTCATGCTTCAGTCCATTGTCACACTTGCTACTTTTACAAATAAGGCACGATTAACCTTTTAAGAAAACAAGTTCATAACTAAACTTATACAAGGAATAAACTATTATATAGTTATAGATTCTAATACATAATCTATTATGTATATTCCTTATATAAGGAATAATCTATACACTCCTTTATCTTTCCCTATATTAGTTATATATAATACATACACAGAGATCTTGAATATTAGATCTTGAATACTTGAACACATTATACTATAGTATATTTAAGAATTACTTTTGACTTTTTTCTTTAATTTTTAACAAGATTGTGCTACACAAGGCTACACTGGATTCAAAGTGAGATTCCACCTAAACTAACATACACACAAACTACAGTGTCATTATACAAAGTCACGATACATTTCTGACTCAAATTCAAACTGGAATCTCTTGCAGTTCTCAGAAATTCATTTTGTCATTGTCAGATATACAACAAAAACTCCCTACTTTGTAATTATGTTGAAGATATTTGATGTGTTTTTTGAACTTACTTCATCTTGTGTTGAAAACATATTCTTTTGTATTGGTTACTTCAAGTGACTACATTTTTCACTATTTCTCTCACTCAGTGTAGAACATAATATTCTAACTCATCTACAGTTGTCTAGATAGCATCATTATTTCTTGTTTTACATTTTTCTTCAAATAAAATTATGTTGAAGAAGACAATTTTGAGCTGAAATTTCCAGGAATTTGCTGAGCAATTGCTATAATCTCTTGTCATCTACTCTTAAAAGGTCCTGTATTATTACTTTACAAATGTCACAGGAACATAATTCTTCACTAAGGTCGGAGAATGACATTAAGTTAGAAGGAACTAAACATGAGCCATTTCTGCTCCCATCTCTCTGCAGGAGGAATCCAGGTACCACAGACTGTTACTTTGTCAGGGTCATTTTTCTATAAGTAAAAGAAAAATCATACAGAACTCAGTGTGCTAGACATTGTGACACTTATAAGTCTGAACAATAGCAACAAAAATTTCCTCACACCTTATAGAATCAAATGTTTTTGTCTTTCAATTTTACTAATGACAAGATGCTAATTTCAAATTTCGGTTATAGAGTTTATCATTCAGATGTGGAAAATCTGCCAATTTAAACGTGTGCAAAGATAGTTAAGAGTGCTGTGTGGAGATAAGGTATTTCTCTCCAGGAAAATTTCATGAGTTCATTTCTAGACTTCAGAAGTGTGAACCAGGCCAGATCCCAGCAGAGTGTCCAATCAAGCATAGGCAGAAATATCTCTTAGATACCCTTGAGGACACTGAGTCTGTGGTAGTCATTCAAACAATTGCTTTGGAGTATTGAATCAACTTGAAGTCACATAAAGAAAAGGCAAAATGAAAAGACTTGGAAAAGGAAAATGTTCACTACAAATAATTTCTGAAAATGGCTTATTTGTTTTAATTTTAGCTTGATCTAAAACATTCCCATTTGGCTTCTCTTTTGACCTATGTGCAATACAGCTGAAACATTTCTCTATAAAACGTATGGCCTCCTTTAATCTTTTTGATTAGCAATACAATGCACAGTAGTGGTTTTAAACAGCAGGCAATTTTTTATGAACGAATACTTCTCCCCATTGTTCTGAGAATATCCATACCTGAGGCAGCATTATTTTGCCAATGAATTAATCGTTAGTCACAATATTATTTCCTTGAAGCTTCCATTATTTACATTATACTAGGACATATGACCATGTAGGTGTATTATATCCAAAAAGACACTCATAAGTGAGTAGGTTCAACCTGATCAAAATTTTAACAACACACTGTCAAAATTCTTGACCACTGGGACTAAAAGGTTTTTCAGATTTTATTTTGAGAAAGAGAGATGTATTTATGAAAAGTATTTTAGAAAGGGAAGCCTTCAGTGCACTTCATTGCCATGAGCATATGTTGGGTCCCTTCATGGACATGCATTCTCCCTGTGCTCTGTGTTCAGTCTGTGTGTTCTTTCTTCATCTCAGTTTGAAAGTCCCAGTTGCACGGAAGCTGTTTCCTTCTTCCAAGAATGGCTACTTCTGTTTCTCTATGTCCTTCTCACAAGGTGTACATGTCTCTATTGTAAGTCTTTAAATTGTGTTCTTTTAAAGTCTTTAAAATAAGAGCTAAGATCAATGCATTAATATCCATACATACCTAATAGGAAACACTAAGTTCTCTTGACATGGCCTGTTTGATGGTGGCACATATGAGCAGAAAGCAAAACACTGTCTTGAAAAAGGCCAAACATATACAAACGCAGTTGAGGGTTGTCTGCAAAGCATCGAAGGATACAATGAAATCAATAAAAGTGATAATTTACTAATTAGAAATTATGTTCTCTTTGGAGAACTATGATGGAGAGAAAACCTGTCCCTCATAGTCATGAATCAAAATAATGAGGGCAGAACCTTATAGCATCCTCTGTTAATAAATTAATTAATAGAGCTGTTATGTATCAGTTTATTCCCAGTACCTAAGTTGCAAAGTTGATACTTAACTAAATTTTACCTTCTTATGGTAGTGTAGTGATAAAATTTAATAGCAAATTTTGATTGAAAAGTGACAGGATGTCAATTGGGAGTGGACTCCACAATATCTCCTAGGAATATAAAAAACTACACCATTGAAATCTCAGATATAAACATATAAACATGACCTGAGCAATTATGATAACAATAAACTTGCTAACATGGAAGGCACAAAGCTCATAAGTCCTAAATCCTAAACAAATAACTACAGCCATCTAAGATAGGTTGAGAGAGGGAGAAATAGCCTTCCTCAGGAAATAGCACAATTGGTTATCCAATACGAAATGGTCATCCCTGAAAACACACACACAAGTAACAGTTCACAGATGAAGTAGGTTGTACTTATTTCTTAAGGAACATCCATATACATGCACATGCACTCGCACACACACACACACACACACACACACACACACACACACACAGCTACAATCATAGAAAAAGATGCCACGAATTATCAATAGCAAAAGATATAGATGGGAGAGTCTGAAGTGAGTAAAGAAAGGGGTAAATGATATCCTTATATTGCAATTTCAAAACATATATATGTATATATATATACATATATATGTATATATATGTGTATGTATATATTTAAAATTAGTAGTTGGTTTATATTAACTGAAACATCAAGACTAACCATTACATATTTGCATTATCGTCTGAGAAAAGCAACTGAGTAATATAATTAAATAACTTACTTTTCTTTTGCATATTATCTACCAATATCCAATAAACATTTTATTTTTAAGCAATTTATTTAATCTATTAATTTTATTTTAATAATTTAGAATGATATCATATTAATGTGATACTTTTTGGAATCGCTGTAAACATTTTAGCTTTGGGGAAAAACTTTGATTTTAATATTTTTTCAGATTCCATGGCTGCAATTTAGTAATCAAGGCATAAGTATATATATACAAGAAACAAACATACTTTCTTCATAAATTATATTCATTACAATGTTTTTTATTCTGTCTTTCTACTTGTTTGCGTTTGTGCTCTTTTGTCTTTTTTTAAATGAAAAAATTCTTAAATGTGTTATGATATGGTTTCCCATCTCCTAGCTAGGTCCTTCTCATCTAATTCCACGATCTCTCTCTCTCTCTCTCTTTCTCTCTCTCTCTAGAAAGCAAACAAATCTATCTTTCTACTTTAAGATTTACTCTTCAAATGATGATACCAAGTTCCCAATTAACACCAGAAAGTCCCTTGTTTCTCTGAACTCTCAGGATGAAAGAGGAACAATAAATGTGTAGGTCGCAAGTGAATCAATCTGCACTAATGTAGTCCAATTTATATATCAGAAAATGGGTGTTTAGTTTATTTGGATCATTCATAGTGCACATTTAATTATCTATTATGGACATCAAACAAACAAGTATCCACACCTCCACTTGAATAGGATCAAAAGTCAGCCCTTGAGCTGCCTGGTCAAGTGTTCTGAAACAGAGCTAAATCTCCATTAGTTTTGTTTTGGTACTTTTTCTATAACATTAAATTATTTTTATTGAAAAAATACTATTTCTTACATTCTATTTGATTATGGTTTCCACTCATCCATATCCTACCAATCTCCGTATCTACGCAAATCCACATCCTTATGTTTTTCTTATTAGAAAACAAACAGGGGGAGGGAAGGGGGATGGAACTGAGGCTGGCATATAAAATGAATAGAAAAACAAACAAACAAACAGATAGATAAACAGGCATCTTAAAACACAGACGAAAAATAAGAAACGTGTGTAGGTAAATAATGTATAATGGTAACATGGTAACAATTTTTTTGTATGAAATGATTTTCTAACCCTAAAAATATTTTACTTGGATATAACTTAGAAGGCATTTAGTCTCAATTATGAGATTAGTACTTAACCTTCAAATACATGAGAGATAGAAGAAAACAAGTTCTTTATATAGAGGATGCAAATAGCTTATAAATCATACTTAGTGGAGGCTAATTAAGGATTGCAGTAAAAGGAAAATAA